TTATATTTTAAAATATTCTTCATTTGGTGTTTAAGATGTGTAATGGATGGAACGTTTGACTTCAATATATTTATTTTTTATGTTTTTTTATTTATGTTGTATTATCCATGATATGATTAGTAATGTTAACTTTAGTTTATGAAAAAACAAACACACTTGAGTTTGGATCTGTACGACTAATTTTTTTTATATTATCATAGTAGTTTTAAAATCTTTTGAGTACATATTCAGTTGATCTAAAAAATATTAAACGTATACATGTAGTTAGACATAGTATTCTCATATTTATTTTATATTTGAACCGCTCAAACTTATACTCTATATACTATATTATAATACATAAATAATAATAGTAGTAAATACAACATATTAAACATGGTATACAAAAACATAAGCATTGATCTTAAAATTAAGAGGTATAAGGTTTTGTGCTGAATTTTCATCTAATACATCATTAAGCTCTCATTATCCAAAATATTGGCAATCCCGCTGATAAAATTGAAAGTAAAGTGAACAAATGAGTTTGAGGGGCAAATTCAATTTTTTTGAAAAACCCTCCATAGAAGTGTAATTCTAAAACCTGATATGTGGCCGCCCCACCTCCACCTCCTTTGGTAAAGAGTAGTGTGTGGAATTGTTTAAAATAAAAAAAAAATAGTTTGTATAATTTATGTTTGATTTTCATTTTATTATTTAATATCATAATTTTCGATTATTGTTATAATTGTAGAATTTGTTTTTAATATATTATAGCTACCGACATTACTTGCATATTTGAAAACATAAATTGATATATCCATTCTTAGCATGATTCGAGCCGTACTCACTTTGACTTTTTAGTGGGTTGAAATAAAATAAGTAATATTTTTAATAACTTTTATTTGAACTAGAGGGTTTCCCGTGCGTTGCACGGGACGGAAGGTGTTCGTTTTGTCAAATGAAATATGTTGCTTGCATTGGTATCCGTAGTAAAGTACATTGCTATTATGTGTAAACCGTCATCAATCGGATGAGTAGAAATGCAATGTAAGTGATGATAGTAAAAGAAGTACAATGCTATATTTGAATAGATTTTCAAAAACAATGAAAACACAATCTTATATCCGGGTAGTTTTAAATGAATGTACAATGTAATATACAACAAATGTAGAAAGAAAATTCTATTGATGCGAAAAAAAACAAAAAAAAATCATCTTTGTAGAAAGAACATCTAGTTATAGGTCAAGACAACCATTATTCTTCTACTTATGCTACATCATCCATTTGAAACATTAAAATCTAGTGAAAGCCTCACTATAAGTGGTGTCAAATAACACAGCACATAAAAAGCACATACAATTTGTTCTACTTCTTCCTCATGGCCTCTACTTTCATTCAAAAGGAAACAAAAAAACAAAAATTAGATATCATATAAAAGAATGTTTGTAGTAGACTAAAATCAGATAGCAGACAAACATGTCAACAGATTCATAGCTCACCATATATTAGAACCCTACATATCATTTGTAAATAGTAAATAAAAATAATAAAAACTCATACCAGGGGAGGGAAGTCATACAAAACAATAAAAGATTTGAACGGAAGACTTGATTGGTCCAGAATTAGAGAATTCAAAAGGTTCAAAGTAAGACAAACCAGTAGATGTTGATCCCGAATCACTACTGGAGCTACTTGAACTATTCCTTTTGCTAGTCCCCACATCTGTGTCCACCAATGTCCACATCCTCTTCATTATCTTCATTACCTGAAACTAACAACAATATTACAACCAACCACCAAAACAACCATATTTCAGCTTCCATGAAAATAAATAAAATAAACCTTTACATGGATGTGTAGATGAGTTGCTGAACCCCGACTCATTGTGAAGCTGCAATAACACATACAGAATCATCAAAACGATCACCCAAAACTGCTTGGTAAACAGGGATCTTTGTAAGAAATTTGTACCTCAATTTCACAAATTTGTAAGAAATTTTTAAGAAATTCGGTGCTTCTTCACAGTCACCCATTCTTTCACCTGTAACTTGTGGATGTGAGAAGAGTCGGTGGAGTTAGTGCTCGAAAGGAAATTAACGACCATACATGATGAAATAACAACTGTAAATTGGTCGCATACGTTACTCGATTGCTTTTCACTGCCTTCCATTTCCGATATCTGATGGTCGAGGCGAGAAGGTGGGTGCCCTGGCACTACCTTTTGCTTCTTACTACTGACCACTTTCTTATTAGCTCTCCTGCCTGAATCCAAGGCGAAGGGTGCGACCGATTCTAGGTCGACCTTTGGAAAATCGATTTCTAGAGAGAATGAGAGATCGATTAGAGAAGGAGAACCGGTAGCAGCAGATGGAACGGGAAATTTCGAAGGAAAGGGGATCGGTTGCATAGATGCATTCTGAGTTGCCTTCCCAAGACACGACCTTCAATTTCATCTTATGCTTAATGACCGAATCAAAAACATCATCGCCTCAATACCAAAAGAAATAAAAATTGGAACCCAAACGAAAGAGATTAGGGTGATGGACTGAAGGGGTACCCTCTGAGAATTGTTGTTGCTTCTGATCGGAGTCGAGAAAAGGAGAGGTAGAACGGTGTTTAGATTCCACTCCATACTACTCGATATTTTACAAATATTCGAATAATGTATCAGATAATAAGAACTTATCACATGAAATTGGAGGCTTAGAAAAAAAAATTGGGCCAAACACCGGTTGCATATTCCAATCGGATATGCCTTCCGAGTTGCCATGCCAAAATACGGCCTTGAATGTGAATTGCTTTCACAAAAAAACTCATCATCGCCTCAATCTTGATTCGTCAAGAACAATAAAAATCGGAACCCATCAAACAAAGCAATCAAAAAACGTGAAATAGAAGATAGGGAAGAAGGACTCAGAGCATCAATCGCATAAACATAAGAAAGAGGTACAGAAAACCAGCAGCAAGAGACGATTGAAAGTCGATGGTATGCGTCTCTAATGGGAGAATGTAGATGAAGCACCACCGATCTCAACACCCACAACAAAACGGGAGAAGACCACGTGCACAACAGGTCACAATTCCACCAACGATTTCCGATTTTCCAAGCACTGCCATATTGGATTTTAAGAGGGTAGAAGAAGGTTGGAGGTGGATATTAGCGAAAGTAGGCGATTGTGGATATGGGAGAAAATCATGGTCGCCGTTTGGATTTAGACTGAGAGAAGAGCAGACGAACATAACCGGTGAGAGGCGGTGGAGGGGTCAAATACTTTGTGCAGGTAGAGAACACGTGGCTTCCACCGACCAATTTTTTAAGGGCGAGTAAGCAAGGAGATGCAGAAATAACAAAAGAGGGAAGACTCCACATTTCTTGTTGGTGTCAGAAACTGAAATTGCCCAACTAAAACCGTCAAAGAGGAAAATGGAAGGACAAAATATAAAAAGATACAAAAAGATGGACTAAAGATGCCAAAAAGCTAGCAAGTTTACTGTTAAAATTTTTCATAACTTTAATATATATATATATATATATATATATATATATATATATATATATATATATATATAATAAAAAATAACTATCAATGATATTTATTTAATAAAAAATGATTTCGATTGGGTTAGTAATGAGAGTAAGAGTTTGGATTTAGTTTGGTTATATAGGTTTAAGAAAAAAAATATTTTTTTAATGAATAATTGAGTTGTGAATGAGGATAGTCTAACGTGATAATAATCATTCGTTTTTTATTCCAATTTTCTTTAATATAGGTCTGAAAATAGTTGAAATCGTACATAAATAGAAACTATTCACAGAAAGGACTATCTGACACACAACCCCCCCCCCCTCCCAAAAGGGTGAAACGAACTATCCGACATGAAAAAGAAACTAATCGCCGAAAAGAAACTATCAATTGTAAGGAACAATCACGTGTCAATACAAAAGTATTAGTGATCTCTGGTGAACAATTCAATGGTAGTGAAATTTATACTGTAAATGTGGTGTATAAAGAAGTATTGCATGATCAATAATGCACAATCAATCATGTGTTCATTTACATTTGTAAAGAATCTCAATCTTCAAACTCAATTATAGGAGGTCATCGCCTCTAAAAACTAATTTCCAAAAGAAATTATTCATACTCGTCGCTTAGTGCGGGTAAACGGCTAGTATATATATATATATATATATATATATATATATATATATATATATATATATATATATATATATATATATCGGTTCCGGCGGATACCCAGCGGTTAGCGGTTCCAAAACTTTAGGAACCGGAACCGGCGGTTCCGGTTCCAAAAACAGGTACCCGATTTTTTTGCTCATCCCTTGTCCGAGATACACAAAGTAGAGTAGAAATACATGGGCCTAATATGTGTATATTAATAGTTTAACAACTATTTGATTCATTCAGACATGCAATAAGCCAATAACCGTTTTTGATCCATCGATTTCTCATCTCTCTTTGATTAACATGATTGTTTGAAGTGTAGAATCGTAGGCTTGAACTTTACCAAATTGAAAAAGAGACGGTGTTTGAAATTTCTTTTGAATAAATACCTGTTGGTAATGATAATCTAGTGTGGCGTGGGCTCTTTGAGGTGTGCATCCCACCGACTAAAGAACTTTTTGAAATAAAATTTAGGTTAGTTGATAGCATTGATATTACACCATGCAGATACAGCTACCATCTTTGAAAGAAAAAAAAAAATAATGATTAAAATAGTACAATGAAAACACACACTTATAAAAGAGTAAAGATACCAAACTTATAATTTACACTTTGTTATATATATTACCATTTACCATTTGTTTAGAAAATTAGTTTATTGTACTTTAGAGTCCCCAATACGAATCAAACAACGGGTTCATATCTTTCCACGACTCTTCCTTTTTTTGTATTAAAATAATTAAAAGAAACTAAGAAAGCGTGTTTGACGAAAGGAAAGTGACAAAGTCCAAAATGTATATCAGAGACGACTCAAAGAATCAAACACGGGGTTCACGGCACCTTATCACATTTATCTCGTGCATATTGCACAACACAATTATTATTCTATTTATCACTATTTTTCCCATCATAATAATATTCACTTCCTTTTTTTCTCTTTCTCTCCCTATTTTTCTCTCTCAAATCAAAATCAAATCAGTAACTCCATTACGAATCCTTTGCAATTGATCATGTCGGGATCACCCGCTGTTGAAATCGATTTCTTTCGTCTCAATGCTGAATCATTATCCGCTCCGAAGAAACTTTCTGATCGTCGTGGTAGGTTTAATTTGCTGTTAACTGGTTTATTGTGTTAATTACGTTATATCCGCATTGTTCCTGATCCGGATTACTGGATATGGTTGTGCAGACATCCAAGGCGTGATATCGAAGATTAATCCGGAGCTTCTGAAGACTGCGATTGCTTCCGCATCAGCTAACATGAGTTTCGTGGGGAGCAAGTCAGGTTCATCTCCTCAGCAATCTGAAACTCTGCCGGTTTTTAATCAGGATTGTAGCAGTGTTAATATGGCTAGATGCGGCGCTCCTTTGACGATCTTCTACAACGGAACAGTTTCCGTTTTCGACGTTTCTCCTATTCAAGCGGAGAATATCATGAAACTTGCTGAGAGTGGAAGTTTAGGTTATAAGACTGTTGTTGAACCAACACTTGTGAAGCCTACTACTGTTAGCAACCAAAATCCGGCGGTAGGCGGAGCACTCAACAAAGGTACGCAACGTCGACGTATACAATCTGTTTAACAACTTCTGATTCTCCATTACTTTTCCAATTTCCACGATTTGCTTAGGATTATACCGGTTGTTGATGTTTATTTGCTTCGTTTTCATCAGATCTGCCATTATCACGGAAGAAATCGTTGAGGAGGTTTCTGGAAAAGCGCAAAGAAAGGTTTGTTACAAATTTCTGTTTTGATTTCATCTCATCAATAACAACGTTTAAATTTTTTGATAATTTTTTATTTTTTTTAAATGTAAATATTAATTAATTAAAATCATTCTTTGCTTAGCTTCTATTTTGGAAATTTGTGCAGGCAGGTGTCGGCATCTCCATACGCGTATTCACAAGAAAATGCTTCTTTACATTGAAGAAAAAGCCGAAACAGAAGATATATAGAAATACAAATATACAAAGACTTTAATTATATGAACTTCTTTTTTTTTTTTGGTTTTTTTTTTCTGAAAAGGGTTTGGTGATCTGTGGAGTTATTAGGCCAATTACAGAAATGATTCTTTTTATTATTATTATTATTTATAGTTGGATAATTTGGTGGTCAACATAATCATATATGACCACGTTTGGTTTGTTTATTATCGACTAATGTTGTTCAAAAGGGTTCCCTCAAATTTGACCAAGTCATATTTGGAAACGTGACAATTCATTTTAATATACTTTTTTAAGACTTTTGATTATTCTAATTAATTCTTATTCGCTGTAATCTTATCTTTCGCTTCATGGTTTTCAGATCTATTTTCCATTCATATGTCTTTATGTTGCGTTTATTTATAGAACAAATACACATTAGTTCATTCACATTTACATTAGCGAGCTATATATAACGGCAGAACATGTTTTATTTTGTCGGTTTCACATTTCCTGTTAAGTTTGTTAACTATAAACTACTTAATATAAGTAATTTCTAATTATATGAAAATATATTCGACGTTTTCGGTACAAAGCTTTTAGCTTTTAGATTTAAGAAAAAACTTAGAAAAATGAAAAAAAAAAAAAAAAAAAAGCTTTTAGCTTTTATTTAAAAAAAAAACCCATAATCTAAAAATTAATTCAAATAACATTTAACAAAAAGTTGCCTACATTTTGTAACAAATTACAATATTACCCTTAAAAATAAAAAGTTGCCTACATTTTATAACAATTTACAATATTACCCTTAATTAAAAATATTTTTAACGTGCACCTTGCAATACACAATACACTTTTGTAAATAATACGTTGTAACTAACATATATACTTTTGCATATTTTTGTCATGGCAACACGCCTTTAGTGTTGGATTCTTGTAAATTGATTGTCAAGCAACAATTTGGAATCTCTTTACAAATGGTCGGGTCTGTTCCACTGAAATAGGGTTATGTTATTATACCTTTTGATTCGATTCCGATACATTATTGATGTTGGTGATTCTTTTTGAAAAATGGGTTTTGCCTTTTCATCTCAAGTCTCAACTTTATAGAATTATAGATTACAATTTTGGATTGATGTCATGCACTGTCATGCATATCATTTATATCGACTATTGACTACTGGATAGACATTCACCACAAATAAGGATAGGCTTATTCTATAAATGTAACCCATTGTTTGGTGTACCCGTTCTATGTAAGTGTCACATGTAAGTTGGTGAGTCTGTGATTGTTTGATTTTTTATGTAAAAAAGGGATATAGTAGCACTCATAGGGATATTTGGTTTGATCTTCTTGTTCATAGATTCCAATAAAGTTGTAGTAATCAATATGGGACTATTAACTTTGCATAATGCATTATCCAAACATTTGAAAAATATATTGTTAGAAGAAGAAATAATAATATTTCCAAGCTTCAATGACTATAATGGTCAATGTTGCGTATGATGATGGGAAATAGGAAATATCAAATATGTTTGTGATTCATTAACTAAATTGCATTAAATCATTCAAAAATGTCCTATTTGGTTTTTCGTAGTCTTTTTGGTCCTTTCAACTTAGCTAGTTGATGTGAAATGTCTATAATTTATTTTCATTTGAAAATTTTAGTTCTTAGGCTAGAGAGAATAATAACATCCTTAGGCTTTAGGGTGTAGGTGCGGTTGTAGCCGTCGTTCACCACCTCAGCAAAACGGCACACCGTTCCCACCCTGCGGTTCCTACCGCGGTTCAACCCAATGAGGTTGTAGGTGCGGTTCCTACCGCGGTTCAACCCAATGCGGCTAGCTTCTACCGTATCTCTCTCATCTATATTCCGTCATATCTCTCACTTCCAACGACTAGTTGCTAAGTTTTTTTTTCTCAAATTTTATATCCTATAAATACTCATAAACATTAATATTTTAAACCACACCAACACCTCCATTTCTTTCAAAATCATTTGAAAATGTCTTCCTCTTCATTTAGTATGTTTTAGTTTCTTTATTTGTGTACTTCTGTTTTATGTTTTTTGTGGTTTGAAGTTTTTAAGTTTTTATAATGCTACTATGTATTTCTTTTATTTCAAATAATGAATTTTTAAAGTTTTAATTAAATTAAATTGTTAAAAAAATAGTGTGGCATGTCATGGTTTCCACACCTAGTGTGTGGCAATGAACCACATTTTTATGATAAAAATGACCTGACAATGAGGTGACCCCTATATATCAAGAAGATAGTGCGGTAAAGGTGGCACCACACCCTCTAGTCATAGCATATTGTCACATAAGCTTGACACACTATAACCTAATTTTTTGTGGTGTCACCTCAATAACATGTTCTTCTTAGCATTTCTTGGGAAGTGGTAACACAATAGATGCATTTTTTATTTGTTTATTTTTCAAATTTAACAAATTCTATTTTTATAAAACACAAACATTTCATATTAAATAAAAAAAATTACAAAATGATTTAAAACCGACTAAAAAATTGAAGATAAAAAGTACATTAAAAAAATATTTTGTCCCTAAATATTCAAAGGTTATGGATGTAAATTGCATTAAAATTGCATTAAATAAATATTAAAAGATTATGGGTGTAAAATAGCATGTCGTTATTGTAAATCAAAAAGTGATAATTATAAACATTTAAAGTTATGTAATTGCTTAGGGGTGTAAAATGATTTATTGGATCAAAGACAGAGACCATTACGGTAAGTTGGAGCTCTTCTCTCTTCTCTCACTAACACATCTCACTCCCCATAGCATTATATGAATTTTGGATGTATTGGTACAAGTACAACAACCGTAGAAGTATATAGATTTTAAATATTCGTACAAGTTTACAATTCACTCATTTTGCACTTTGATCGACAAACAACTCTCGGGTTAAAACAACCAATTTACACAAGACGGTTCATTATTTAAATCTTGTACGAAAATTACAAGTTTACAAAAACAAGCTCTTGAATAATTAGTTTTTCGTTGTACAAGTGTCTTTTTTTCCTTACTTATTTACCGAGAAAAAAATTAAATAAATTAGGCTTCCTCATAAAGGGTTTCCAATATTTGGGGGAAAAAAATTAGGATTTTAAGAAATAGCCACGATATTTGTAGGTACCATACCATCGTAGGGACTTCTTTGAAATTATTATTATTATTACTATTATTATTATTATTATATATATATATATATATATATATATATATATATATATATATATATATATATTAAATCCAAGGGACCTTATAAATAGTAATCATTTTAGCTTTAGGTTTTTGCCATAAATGTTTGATGAATTTGACATTTTTAGTCCTCGAAGTGAAAACTTTTACATTTTGAAGTTTTGATTAAGTTTTTGTGCCTTTAGATTTTTGCCACAAATCTTTAGTGATTTTGACACTTTTCGTCCTTGCAGTCAAATCTTTTATATTTTGATGTATTTGCCACAAATTTTTAGTGACTTTGACACTTTTCAACCTTGCAGTCAAAACATTTACATTTTGACATAAAAAACACAAAAAACCTCCTTTAGACTTTTGCCACCATATTTTTCCAACTTTGGCAACTTTTACATTATAGCCACAACAATTTTCGTTTTTTTTCCATCAATGTTCTTTCTTTTGGTTCTACATTTTTGACATCTAATTTTAGGGGTTGTCGGTTTTCTCCCTTATTTGTGACGATTTACACTTTCGACACATCTTTTAAAGTTTGCCGATATTTAACTTCTATGACATAGTCCAAAAGCGGCGGAGCCGCGTGTCCTTTTCTAGTATATATTAAAGTTGTGGAAGAAAGGAATAGTAAACTTGTGATACTTTGTCCAAGTTTGGTCCCTTGATTTACATATCCGGTCCCTGTACTTCTTTAATTAATTTATTCATGTCCTTTTGTTTGTGTTCCATTCAACTTCCCATTTTTTTGGCAGAATTGGTCTCTGTATTATTGTTGGAAGTTAGGAATACTAAATTTGGATGTTTTTTGGCAACTTTGGTCATTATTCTTTACCCATTTTGACACTTTTGGTCCTTGCAATCAATATTTTTACACTTTTTTGGAACCTTTTAATATTTAAAGTTTGGCCACAAAACTTTAACGGTTTGACAACTTTGATCCCTTTTCTAAAAAGTTGCTAATTCCTACCCCTTTAATTCTTTAGCCATTTTCACGCTTCTGGTCCTTGCAGTCAAAACTTTTACATTTTTTGTCCGGGGCAAAGCCCGGACTTTTCATCCTTGCACTTTCTATATCTGTCATATTTATCAATTCGGAAACAACATTGAAAGCTTCTGGCCCCCGCGTAGCGGGGGTAACCTTTCTAGTTATTATTATTATTATTTTCTTTTGTCAGAACTATATTATAAAACCTTTTTTTTCAATGAAAATGATCTTTGAAGATTTCTAGCACACAAAAAAACAGTTTTTAGGGGTGAAAATTATCGACCTAACATGAAAATAAACAGATTTGAGTTGAAATTTCTGGTCCGTCAACCCGCTTATTTTATAGGTCGGATTGGGTTACGTGTTTGGGTTCGTGGGTCAATATGCCAATATTTATTATTTTTTTTAAAAAAAATTATTTATGAAATAAGCGATGTGCATTTTCAATCAAAAAACTCAATCATTAACTCCTTTTTGCTCAAAAAGACCACAGATCACTCACCGCCCTTACCTTACTACCTCATCGCCAATACCACCTCCTGTCGGTAGGGTTGTCAATTTATGACACGACATGACAAAAATATACGACACGAAACGAAATTGGGACGAAATCGAAATTCGAATTTGTGTCGTGTTCATGTCAAGTACAAAAACACAAGTTTTTATTGTATCGTGTTGTGTTTAAAATTCGACACAAAATTGGCACGATTTAACATGTGTTTGTCGTGTTTTTCGTATTATATGTGATTAAGTATAAATTAAATACACTAATAATTATATTATTTTATGTTTGTCATATCGTATCGTGTTTTTCATGTTTTAATCAACTTATTTTTGTGTTATTGAAAATAAACACGACATAGTGTCGTGTTAAATAAAACATTGTCATGTTGTGTTATGTCAGAAAAACCACGACACGATTGTCCGATTTTACACCTTGGCGTTGCAACCCACCAACCCACCAGCGCAAAGCCGCAAACCACTGGTACATTTGCTCTCCACCGACCCACAAACGCTCGTCACTCTATCCTTGAACCACCACCGTCGGTGAAACCTACCAGTAAACTCGTGAACCTATATAACTAAACGGG